TCCGTTTCCTAGCTCCCACACTCTCCTGACGTGCCAGTGTCTCGTGTCTTCTAGCTCCCATTAATTCCCTCCTGATGCCAGTGTCCGTGTGTTCTAGCCCCACACCCTCCTGACGCCAGTGTCCGTGTCTCTAGCCCCACACCCCTCCTGGACGCCAAGTGTCCGTCTCTCTAGCCTCCCACACACTCTCCTTGACGCCAGTGTGTCCGTGTCTTCTAGCTCCCACACTCTCCTGACGCCAGTGTCTCGTGTTCCTAGCCCCACACCCTCCTGGACGCCAGTGTCCGTGTCTTCTAGCCTTCCCACACCTCCTGACGCCAGTGTCCGTCTCTCTAGCCCCACACTCTCCTGACGCCAGTGTCCGTGTTCTAGCCCCACACTCCCTCCTGACGCCAGTGTCCGTGTCTCTAGCCCCACACTCTCCTGACGCCAGTGTCCGTCTCTCTAGCCCCACACTCTCCTGACGCCAGTGTCCGTGTTCTAGCCCCAAGCACACCTCCTGACGCCAGTGTCCGTGTCTTCTAGCTCCCACCCTCCTGACGCCAGTGTCCGTCTCTAGCCCCCACACTCTCCTGACGCCAGTGTCCGTGCTCCTAGCCCCACACTCCTGACGCCAGTGTCCGTGTCTCTAGCCCCACACTCTCCCGGACGCCAGTGTCCGTGTCTTCTAGCTCCCACACTCTCCTGACGCCAGTGTCCGTCTCTAGCCCCACACTCTCCTGACGCCAGTGTCCGTGTCTCTAGCCCCACACTCTCCTGACGCCAGTGTCCGTGTCTCTAGCCCCACACCTCCTGACGCCAGTGTGTCCGTCTCTAGCCCCCATTACCTCTGGATGCCAGTGTCCGTGTTCTAGCCTCCACACTTCCTGACGCCAGTGTCCGTGTCTCTAGCCCCACACCTCCTGACGCCAGTGTCCGTGTCTCTAGCCCCACACCTCCTGACGCCAGTGTCCGTGCCCTAGCCCCACACCTCCTGACGCCAGTGTCCGTGTGTCTCTAGCTCCCACACTCTCCTGACGCCAGTGTCCAGTCTCTAGCCCCACACACTCTCCTGACGCCAGTGTCCGTCTCTCTAGCCCCACACACCTCCTGACGCCAGTGTCCGTCTCTAGCCTCACACACCTTCCCTGACGCCAGTGTCCGTGTGTGTCTCTAGCCCCACACCCTCCTGACGCCAGTGTCCGTGTTCCTAGCCCCACACTCTCCTGACGCCAGTGTCCGTGTCTCTAGCCCCACACCTCCTGACGCCAGCCAGTGTCCGTGCTCCTAGCCCTCATTGACCTCCTCCTGACGCCAGTGTCCGTGTCTCTAGCCCCACACTCTCCTGACGCCAGTGTCCGTGTCTCTAGCCCCACACTTCCTGACGCCAGTGTCCGTGTTCCTAGCCCCACACTTCCTGACGCCAGTGTCCGTGCCCTAGCCCCACACCTCCTGACGCCAGTGTCGTGTCTCTAGTCTCACACCTCCTGACGCCAGTGTCCGTGTCTCTAGCCCCACACCTCCTGACGCCAGTGTCCGTGTTCTAGCCCCACACTCTCCTGACGCCAGTGTCCGTCTCTCTAGCCCCACACCTTCCTGACGCCAGTGTCCGTGTCTCTAGCTCCTCACACTCTCCTGACGCCAGTGTCCGTGTCTTCTAGCCCCACACCCTCCTGACGCCAGTGTCCGTGTCTCTAGCCTCACACACCTCCTGACGCCATGTCCGTGTTCTAGCCCCACACCTCCTGACGCCAGTGTCCGTCTTCTAGCCCCACACTCTCCTGACGCCAGTGCCCTGTATGTTGCCCTAGCCCCCACACCCTCCTGACGCCAGTGTCCGTGTCTTCTAGCCCCACACTCTCCTGACGCCAGTGTCCGTGTCTCTAGCCCCACACTCTCCTGACGCCAGTGTCCGTGTCTCTAGCCCCACACTCTCCTGACGCCAGTGTCCGTGTCTCTAGCCCCACACTCTCCTGACGCCAGTGTCCGTGTCTCTAGCCCCACACTCTCCTGACGCCAGTGTCTACTCTTTTGTCATAGATACGTTAAAACAAGAAAAAAATCCCAAACTAGATTTTTTAAGTTGTATAAATTTTGAATATAGAAACGCACCTTGTGATCTGTGCTTAATTAAAGATATTAGCTGTTTGATTACGTGCTTAAATGAGTCGGTCTAGTGGTTTTTTTTTTCATTAGCGTTTAGGAGAAAACTTACGGTGAGTGAGTGAAACAACTTGTGTGACGTACAGTTGAAACATCCTTGACCTTAACCCTCAAACATTTAAATAAACCAAGAAAAATATTACCCCAAGAAACAACTAGGAAAATTACACACAAATGACGGTTTTAATTTCCCCAAAACAATTAACTCGTATATATAAAGACGACTGTAGTAATTTAAAACAGTATAATGTTTGCGCATCAGAGGGCAGCGCGTCATCACTAGGCTAACACAACGACGGTCAGTGAGGTTTAGTTTTCTATGTTTAGAAAACTAGGATGAACTATGATAGATTATTACTGCGGTATAAGTGAGGTTGCGATGGCTGTGTGGATACTGTGCGTTTCTCCCGTACCAGGTGTCGTTGGTTCGCAATTACATGTATTACACTCCAAGTTCACTCACCTGTAAATAAGCACGTAAATGTACCGTTGGGGAAGCGACGGCGTTTATGTACAGTGTCTCCATGGGTGATGATATAGGTCTGGTAGTCCACACTGTGTTGTATCTACACAAGAAAAAGTTAACAAACCTAACTTTAACCTAACCAAACCAAACATAACCTAACTTTAACTTAATCTAAACTAACTTTAACCAATCCAAACTTATGACTTTTTTCCTAGCCAAACTTTATGACTTGTGACTTTTTTCCTGTGACTTATTTCCCTGGCACCTACACTGAGGCCGATCCAGCCAGTCTTTAGCGCCGGTACAGTTGACAGTGAGGTGACGTTACTCAGGCAAGCGATGCAGTGGGGGTGAGGGTGTGGCCACTGAACCTAACCTAACCTTACCGCCACAAATAGGGTGAGTCACACGCCACACCATTAACTACAACTGCTAATGTGGCGGCAGAGATGGTGTGGTGTAGTAGGGAGCTGGTGTATATAGCCTGGGAAGGAGATGGTAATAGTCTAGGTTAGGTTAGAGTAGCCTAGTAGTTTTGTGGGGGGAGATTATAATAGCCCTGGTAGCCTTATGGGAGAGATTATAATAGCCCTGGTAGCCTTATGGGAGAGATTATAATAGCCCTGGTAGCCTTATGGGAGAGATTATAATAGACCTGGTAGCCTTATGGGAGAGATTATAATAGACCTGGTAGCCTGATGAGCAGTTTATAATAGCCCCGGTAGCCTCATGGGAGGACTACAATGAGCCTAGTAGCCCCAAACATTCCATAGCACAACACGAACCCAGAAAATTGAAACTCGGAGTAGATAGATGATCTCTCACTCGACAGACAAGTTGATAGTTACAAATGGCTCCGAGGTTAAACCAGTGTGTCGATATAACTGTTGGCTCATTACCCGTCATATTGGAATGTCCCGACCCGCGTAAAATATAAACTAGTCATTGGAACTCTGCAGAAACGATATTGGATGTTAGTGGAGAAATTTAGCAAGATTATAGCAGGTTAATTCCTCTTCCAGGTGATCACGAGCAGGTATTAGTTAAAATGTGTCGACACAGCTGGACACCAACCGCCATCTTGGGATACAGCTCGACCCCGACATAACCACTGCTGTTGCGTGTTATGGGGAAATTGACTGCGGCGAATCGTACTAACGGGGGTGTTGGAGGTATCAACTGTGAGCACATCGGTTCACCTGTCAATATTGTGCGTTGTATTATGTGAAGCTGTTCTAGTTACCTTTTGTAAGCAGACAGACATACACCACAATGTCACCCGCCAGTAGCTGTTCACTCGCTTAAGAAGGAATTTCACGGACAGTTGACTAATAATGGTGTCAGGTTGTGGTGTCAGGTTGTGGTGTCCCTTAGTGTGTGGTAGTGCTAGGTAGTATGTGTGGCGGTGATTTAAGAGTTTTACCTGTGGCTGAACGATTTATTAGAATTGATAACCCATTGTCACACACTACCCAATACCACCACACACTACCCAATACCACCACACACTACCCAATACCACCACACACTACCCAATACCACCACATACACTCCCATCAAACACAACTTACAATCTCCAACGTGTTAAGTGGGTAGGGTGTCAGGCGACGGTGTGAAGTAACTCCTAGGCTGAGTCTCGCTGATGTACTGTACTATATATTATTGAAGGTGTTAGTAATCTGCTGTAGCACATTTAGGTAATAATCTCAGAGCTACAGAGTATTTAGGTAGTAATCACAGAGCTACAGAGTATTTAGGTAATAATCTTCAAGCTAAGAGGTGCGGAGGTCGAGTGGAAACAGCTCTCGCCCCATGTCCTAAGAGTAGCTGGTTCGATCCTCCTAACTGGTGCTCAGAGAACGTAACTAGTTAAAGCTAGTCTCGAGTGCAGTTCCTATGTTATATTTAGTTGTTATTTAGTATTTTAACGTAAATTAACTTAGCTCTGGTATTCTTACATTGCCTGGAAATTCAGTGACGGAGATTTCAATGTCCGTAAGTTAGTGAATCATGTCCAAGGTCGGGGAGTCTTTCACGTGGGATTATCTTAAATTATATGGCTGGTGATGCGTAGTAACAACAGTGTAACTCATGTGTAAGCCTTTGTTAATATTCATTAGCGTGTGTGTGTGTGTGTGTGTGAGTGAGTATGGTTGCATTCTGGTTTGTGTTGCGTATGTGCAAGTGAATGCATGAGTTATTCTCATTGGATTAGTGGAGAGTTAAACAAAAGAAAAATTACCACAGTAGACGTAAACATGAAATTTCTACCAAACCATTCAGCAGTTTATTAACTATTATCTACTTATATATGCTCTTAGTGTTTATAGTTAGGAGTGAGTGAGTATATGTGAGGGAGAACAAAGCGTTCCTTCTTGGTGTCTGGCGGCGTCACCACCATACCAGTAGCAATACACTCAGTCAGCGCTCAACTTGCGACCTGTGAACTTGTCAATATTACCACTCCCTCGCTGCACACAACCCGGGCACGATCATTACCTCGTGGGACACTTAACTCACACAAGTGTATCCTTTATGAAGTAACGACTGTGAGAGAAAGGACTTTCATAAGAGGTGAGGAAGGAAGATCTGGTGTCTGGTTGGTGGCGGAAGTGTGGCAGAAACACTACAGTAGGCGATTGTTGTCAAGTCGACCCTGGTTACCAAGACTACACATCGACACACAAATCCACTCCCCCACTGTGATGTTATTGTCCTCCTGCTTATAATAACCCTGAGCATTGTTACGAAGTGAATTAATGTCGGAGATACATAAGAAAATAAATGTCCGTCCAGTGAATCAGTGAAGCTATGACAAATTTACAAAATGTAACTGGTATTATGTGTTGGTTTCGTGAGACAAGGAAAGTGTGATATGAACAGATGACTTGGGGACTAACTCCTCCTCACTGACAACTTATCGACTTGAGAAAGATGAGTGAGGTGATAAGCGCGGCCCTGCACGTGTTCGTTAAGTAATTAGCGTCATCATTCACAAGAACTCAGGTGGGTCAAATGAAACTGGATTACTAATGTGTTCTTATATCATATTGCAAAGGTTTAGGTAGTTTGTAGGTATTTTGATAATGTTCGCAGGTAAAGTTAGGTCCATTTTTTTTAGGGAAGTTCATTACAGAGCAAACAGTTTACATATCATATTTTTCTCAAAGTAATAAATTATACAAATCTAACTGGACTTCGATGAAACTTGGTGTGTAGATGTAACCTAACAAGACATTATACGAGTCGGTAATCAGTCATTTTCATCAATAAAGTTGGGAGTTACGGCTATGTCTGTGATGACGGGTGACTAGACTCACGTGGCTAACTTGTTATCTTCCATTTTGACCCTACAGTCGATGTGCTGCCATTTCAATTTAGTGGATGAAATACTCGAACAAATTTAAACTAGCACAATATTACTGTTTTTGTTTATTGCCGGAGTGTAAACAAAAAAGAGGAAAATTATCCTGTCTAAAGTTAGGTTATATAGGAAGTCAGTCTCTTGTTTTTATTGTAAATTACCATGATTGTCACAGCCAGTTAAAGCATATCCTGCCAGGACTCTTGTATAGGTGGATTCTGGCAAGGTAACCTCGACTGTGACATTAGTAGTGATAAATAATAAAAATAAATAATAAATACACTAGCGGTATATGAGCCAAGATTTCGTGGCAAAGCGTCGCTATCTGAACTGTACATCGACTTACATTTTCAGTGTTATTTGTTCGGTCTGTTTCTGTATTTGTCACTTGTTCGCGTTTTTCTGTATTTGCTTCTTGTTCTTATCTGTTTATTTGTCACTTGTTTTAAATGTTTGTGTATTTGTCACTTGTTCTTATCTATAATTCGTAAGTTGTTGTCTAATGTATGGACCTACGTGTTTAAAGACTTAAGGTGTACAGACATTTATATAAACAATGATGACGGCTTCTTAATGGCTTCTGACAGGAACAGGGCGGTAAATTCTAACATAGGAACAGGACAATGGCTTTAAACAGGAAATGGCAATGGTTTCTAACATAGGAATAGGGTATTTGTTTATAAAACAAAACAGACAGTAAAGTCCTATAACATAGCAAGGCAGCGTTGATAGGACACACCTCTTAAAAAAATCAAAGCACTATTTGGACTCTACCACACGCGGGCAGAGGTTCATGTAATAATCGACAACAGCACCTTTTATAAATTTTTGCTTATACAGTATCAGCTAATGTGACATTTAACCATAATCGACAATCCTTTTTCGTTATAATTATTTTTTTGCTGATTAAAAATATTAAAGTGACATTTCGGTGGAGAATGTATAATTAGAACCATACCCACACACTGCCACATCCACCCAGACAGAAATAATCCTTAGTTTGTTCTCCCAGTGACTGTAACTTGATAAAGAACAAATATAATTGAGTTTGTCTTTGTGTTATTGTCAGGCGTTTTAGGAATCTCGAGAAATTACCAATGTGTTCAGATGATATTGAGGAGTGTTCGTCATTTCACTGGACATTACGGGCTGTGTGTACTTTTTGGTCAAGTTTCCATCACATCCTCACGTATACTACTTTATGGTTAGGTGTTTTCCCGGACTGTCTTCGCTTATTATATTTCTCACCAAGAGCGCTGGAGTTGTTGACTGAACATTTGCTATTGTGTGGATGTCTCGCGTACTGTCAATGAACCAGGTCCTATATAACTGTCTCACATTTTCTACGTTATATATATATATATATATATATATATATATATATATATATATATATATATATATATATATATATATGATATATATGTGTGTGATTCCCTTCTTCAGATTAGATATTTATGTGTATTTGTATTTATCCAAATAATTTAAGCCCCCAATACATCGTTGCTGAGGCACGCATGGGTCGTAAGCCCACTCAGTGTTAAGTGAGGGGAGGTACTTACACATGAACAGTTTCTCTTCCTGAAAAATATAATTCCGCCAGCTGTTACAGGTAAACAGTGTATGTGTGTTAACGCATACCTCGTGAGACCTGCTGACCTGGATCGATGGTGACTCAGAAGCTGCTTTGTGTAGTGAGGCCAACCTGCTCTCAATAACCTCATCTATACTCAAATTAAAATCATTGGCCACATTCATTCTGATAATATATCATAAGGGCTCGTGTCAACAGACCCCCAACTAAGAAAAAAAGTCTTTTGATCCTGACAAACCTAAACAAACACGGCTCAGTCAGGCTTTACAGTACGCAGGAAAATCGGTACAGTACAATAGAGCGATGTCTTGCTTGCCCCTGAAGGTGAAGGTGGCGTCTGATCTTCAAGCTGACGAAGGTTCATGGATAGTAAACCTGTCCATTGTAAGACTGTCATTGCACGTTGAGGTATCGCTGTGTCAGGTTTAAACACACACACACACACACACACACACACACACACACACACACACACACACACACACACACACACACACACACTCAGCCCCATTCCAATCATTGTAAAAATCATCAACAACTCGTAGACAGATAGCTTGTGTGTTCACTCCTTGCCAGTCTCACTTTTGTAATGTAACTGCGCTGAAATTACTTGTTAAGTGACCCTCTCCCCTCCTGTCATTATGTTATATACAGGCATATGTACCAATTATGTCATTTTGTATATTTTCACCTTTTGGCTACTGTAATTGTCAATAAAAAGTTGATTATTGCACACACACACACACACACAGAGTTTATTTATCTGTATTTTATGTACATAATTCATTGTGTTCTTAATATATCTGAGTACATGTATCATTTCAGTCGTAAATTGTTTTCGTAGATATTTCTTTTCGGGAACATTAATTATTTAATGTCCGCACATAAAGTATTCATGGATTAATTGTGTAAATGTAAATTAATTTTGTGTGCACGGATTATTTATTTACGTAAAGGTCTGTCTTTAGCGTTAATTTAATATTCCTATAGTTAGATCCTTTCCTAAACTTCTCTCAGCATAGAAGCCCTTAAGTCCTAGAGAGATCCCTGCGTGACGGTGTGCGTGTGTGTGTGTGTGTGTGTGGACAGAGATGTCACGAATGGTTACGGATACCTTTGTCAATGATGCTGGCTCACCCGCTGTAACCTTTGCGTGTCCATTCGATGATCCGAAGTAGAAATGTCTGAATGAGAGATTGAAAAGGTAATCTAACCTTAAGTAAATAGCCAAAGGTTTAGATATAAATACAAAGGGGATATGAGGGATATATTAAGAGTGAAAGAAGGTTCGTGTGTATGCGTGTGTGAGTGGAGGTGTTGGAGGGAGGCTCGCGAGTGTGTGTGGCTGGGGGGCACGGTAGGCGGTGACCACGAATGTTTTTTCCAAGAATTGGTTGATTATTGTGACATATCTCTCCTGGTTCGCTTGGTGCTGTTAAATAATGAAAAGAATACAATGAACTATATGATCACTTGGCGATAAGAACCTTAATATGTGACAACCAAGAATGTCTCCTGTCCACCTTGGTGAGTCGGACTGGTGGGCGGCGAGGCTCCCTGGTGGCGACGGCAGGGAAGGTTCACGATTTTTTAGACTAAATATAATTTATATTTTGTCGTGTATGCCATTATATATATATATATATATATATATATATATATATATATATATATATATATATATATATATATATATATATATCGTTTAGGCCAAAAAGTTAACTATATAATTCTATACACTATATTTGATCATGAAATATTAAGATACTTGATGCTTTATGATAAGACGCCATCTACATAGTAAATTTTTAGGGCATTCCAAACCTATTTAAGACCTGAAGGATAGTCCTATTTAACTATTTTGTAGCCAGGCCATGGTGGAAAACTAACAAGTGAAGCAACACGAACATTTAAAAAAGAAACAAGATACAAAATATTAAAGAGGCAAGAAACAAACTGAATAAATTAATTTTTTGTATTGATTCATTCACTGTGTTATTTAGTTTTTGTATATGCTATATGTGGTGTTGTGAAGCCTGTAGTTATAATTTGTCACCAGTTATTGGTCATTCTCTTTTTTTCAGAATGGGAACACGGGCCAGACTCCTTCATCAATAACAAACATAACGTAATGGTGTGTAGTGTGTGATTGCGAGCCTCTACACTATCACACTCAAGTTTCCGGCACTTGAGACACAGTTAAAGAATCGACCAAAAACTGAAACGTTACGGTAGGATACATTCTTTGACCAACGTAAATTGATTAGACCACAGATACAATAAACTGTTCGCAAGTTGGGTAAATATTGATGTGCGGGGAGGAGAAGGGGAAGGGGGGGGTGAGAGGGTGGGACTGAATAGTAGTATTGTATAATGAACAATACGTAGGTTTGTTGATAGAAACTTTTGATCAAATATCTCTAATTCTATGTTGCAGGTTGAAGGTGCGAGCTAACTGCAGCGTAGCTTGAATAATGCACGACGTATCGAGCTGGGGTGAGCGTAGGTTGCAGTCCTTTTTGGCGAGGGAGGCAGCCGTTGACTTCACCACTACCACCACCTCCGCTATCAGGCAACACTACCATCACCACCATTCTCGCCCAGACAACACCACGCTGCCCGCCACCACCTAAGACTGTGAGATGGAGGTGCGACGTGCCACAGCTCCTGCTAAATCCAGCGGTAGTGTGGCGACGGCGACCAAGAAGGGAGGTACGCGGGGTGAGGCCAACGGTGCGAGAGGAGTGCTCGCTGGAGGAATTAATGGCACCGGGGGGGTAGCTAGCAATGACGGGGTGACTATTAACGGAGGGATACCTAGTAACGGAGGTACTAACATTGAAAGAGTTGGGGAGTTGGCGAAGAGGAGGTTCGCGAACGACCCCGCCATGATGCGAGAGCTGAAGAGATACCAGAACTTGATGCTGCTCACCCTCCTTCCCGCCATCACCAGCGAGGCAGACTACACTCTCAACCGCCCTCACGTAGACGACAACACTGACCACTCTGCTGTCCGTGGCCAACCTGAAGGTGCCGAAGACGTTGACAAAGACAAGGACCACAACGAACACCTTCCGCTGCCGGTGCCTACTGACGGGATCGTGGGAGTGGCCCAGTACAGTGCCTCGAGACGAAACTCTCAACAGGCCAAGTCTGCTGGCAGTCACGGGAGCCGAAGAAACAAGTCCTTCCCCGCAGGTCCAGCGAGCGCCGGCACGCGCCTGCCTCTCGCCGTCTACAACCCCCTCGACACTTCCCCGCGACCCAAACCACGACGGAAAAGTCATGAAGACGCTTCGCCTCAACGGAGACCTCGACGGAAAAACCAGGACGAAGAGAATGGAAGAAGAAGGAAGAGCCAGGGAGACGACGGCCAGCAAGGGTGGAAGGAAGACGAGTTAACAGACGCCTTGGGAGGGTCTGGCAGCAGCGGGGCAGCAGGCGGCAGCGGCGGTGGGGAACTGGACCTGCTGACGCTGGCGGCGCTGTACCTGGAGAGCCGCCACCGAGTGTTCGGCCAGGAGTGGCATCACCGCCCTGACAACATCGCTAACATCAGGTTAGACACACACACACCGACCAGAATGTTGTCTTTTGTGGAGTTTTTTTTACTCTACAGACACGTAGTATATATTATGTTTGTAGAGCTCAACACATGTCTGTTAACTATCATGTGAAACGGATACTAAGGTCGGTCTCCTCTGAGTATCATTAAAACCACAACAGATCTCACTCGTCGATGATATTAAATGCTGAGTGAAAGTGAACTTAGGCTAAAGCAGGCGTTGGTTTAAACAGGTGTTACTTAAATGGTCGTAATTATACATTCCTTCGGTTCCCTTAACACCGGTTTGAATCACTGTTAGATCTTTAATATTAAACAATTGGGGAAACTATTTAAGTGTTGACCTTTGACCTGTGTCCTCAGACCGACGACCCAGCTCGGAGGGACAGGGGTGGCTCGCCCTCGCCGCCTGACCCCGCTCTCGCCCACGGACACCTCGCCCACCAAGGACCAGACTGGAGGCGGCAAGGAACCCAGAACTTTCTCTGCCGTGATTCCTACACCTGCTGGTCTACACCTTTCTGTCAACTACACCCACAATCTCGACCTAGGTGAGTAGCCCAGAGGTACAGGTAAATATTCTGAGAGAGTAGCCTGGACAGTGGACACTGATTATAGCCTGGTTATAGATCAACACTTCCAGACCCGAATTACTACGGCATACCTGAGTGAAGGTCTTTGTTGACATAGAATAACAGACGCCATATCTTAAGTTAGGTTAGGCTAAGTTAGGTTTGTAATAATAAAATAATAATAATAATAACAATAATAATACAAATGATAGTAATAATTAACTTTGATAATTAAATGTTTTTATATTTTCCACGTTCAGTCAATTTCATCTTTAAACAACGTGACAAATTAGGTTGAATTAAGGTAGGTCATGGCAGGATAGGGAAGGTTAATTAGGTTAGGGAAGCAAAGGGACAGTAAACCCGTATTCCTTTATAACAGAAGAGTCGGCGTTCATAGCCGAGCGTGCCAGAGCTCTCCGTCCACGCTTACGTCGCCTTAACTCAATGGACGACCTCCTCCCCGGGACACCTAACGCTCTCTCCAGGGACCTGCAGAAGGCCACCTCAGCCCCCGACCTCTCCCATAGTGGCCACGGCAAGAGGACCCTTGCTAACATGGTAACTAAAGTAAGCAGTGTGTCTCAGGTCACTCAAGGAGCCTCGCCAACATGGTAACTAGGCCATCTTTTGTTGTGATTCCCTCATCCGAAAAAAAAAGAATAATAATTATTCTATGGTACACGCTTGGCACATCGTCCTCTTAAGGTGACTCACTTGTATAGTTTGACCATATCACTACAGTATTTCCTGATATAAACACAGACACTGCAGGTATTGATTCTTTTACAGCATTTCCTGGTAGAGGCGTTATTTACTCCCCGGAGTTGCACCATTGTATTCAACTCTCAACCAGCTTGTGATTATAACCTTTAGCCAAGTTGTTGATGGATTGAGATAGTTATACACTGTAATAATTCCAAGTGTTGCTTTAATCATGATAGATCAAACCTAATTTCTGGGTTAGATTTTTCTTAAAGTCAAAATAAACTGATTGAAATGTTTAGTTTACGAAATGTCAGCGAAGAACTGTTTAGGCTATATACGACAAGTTTCTCATTGATTTGGTTTTTAATGAATTGAATTTAATTTAATTGAAACAGTTTATTTAGCCAGGAAAACACAGATACAGAGTGGATAACCTGAGCTCTCTTTTAGGCACCTGATATATACTATACATTTATCTGAATTATATAAGTCATGAATGAACTAACACCGTGGCATAATCTATTACTTCTAATCTATAGTTTTTAATCTAGTTAATTTGTTCACGTGAAAGAAAAGGTGGCGGACAGTTTTCTTTTTAATTTGTTATTCATCGACTCCTGGCGGCATGAATTGTTGTTTTCAGTAATTTTAATGGTTGTTGTTTGGTGTATGTCTCTACCTGTATAAAAACCAGAGTTGTTGAATCACAGGCATACGTGAAAACCACAAACAAAGGCTATTAGGGAATTATTAATCTGCCATTCGCGTGATAAACCATTAAAATCATGTTATGTTCCGTACCTTATACATGTATATGTTAACAGCTGCACGCTTACCTCATTAAGACCTGCACGCTAAGGTTGACGGTTTGTGGGGAATTAAATTTTGGTAAGTGGAAGTGTGTGTGTGGTCAGGGGTAGGGCGGCCACTGACTCATGCATTGATTTATCAACAACACCCGAATCCCAGGCTGTGTGGTGACGTGCTAGGCTGCGATGACGTGCTAAGCTGTGTGGTGACTTGTTTGGTGACGTGGTAGGTTGTGTATTTACGTACTAGACTGTTTGGTGGTCATTCATGGTGTCATCGTCATGTCTGAGGGATGGCGACCACGGCCTTCCACTCCCAATATTTCCGGGCTGTCTGTACCAGTTCTGCCAAATTTCGCACCTCTCCGGCACCACAATTTTAATTTCACTCGTCCGTCTCAGTTTCTGCCGAACCCCTGGCCCTCCTGCACTCTGTTTCTTCAGTTAATATCTCTGTCCTGTAATACCAAGTCATTAACTGAGTCAGGAGATCAATATACTGTGCGTTTTCATGCAGTGTTCAGGAAAAAGTAAAATAATTGTCGCTTCTCATAAATTTACTCTTAAGCTGTTATATTTTCTTGTCACAATAGATAGCTATTTCTCAATTAAAAATTATCTTACAAATTCATATTGCTTTGATTTGTATTTAAACATTCTAAGTATGTATATAATCATTGTAGGTACAGTACTGATAAACATAAACAGACAAACATTAAGTCGATTCAGCCAAGAATAACATTGCAAAGAAAATTATTATTACATGATAATATTAACTTGTTGGTCATGGTGTTTCAGAGATGTAGTGAGATGAACGTAATGTGATAAGAGTGTGTTTAAAAGTGTGATTAAGAGTGAGTTTCTTGCAGCACTTGTCACCCACCTCATCTGTAGAGAGCATCTCGCCGCCCCTCGTCACTCCCGCCCGAGCCAACACACCCACCGAGGCTAAGCAGTCAGCTGCCCTCGTCCGCCCTCAGATGGTGGGCGGCTCCCTGGCGACATACTCCGCTGTCGACACCGCCAGGACGACCAATATATCCTACAGCCGCAACAGTGACAGTTTCATAGGACCCATCAACACACGGCTTAGACAGTTGCCCGAGACCTCCCGTACTGCCCTCCCGCCCCCGAAGCCACCCTTCAGGCCAGCGAAGGTGCCGCCCGATACAAGGAGAAATGACCTGCCTCTCACGCCCCCGCCTACAGCCACCGTGGAGGGCCATAGGAAGAGTGGCAGGGTGCATCTACAGCCACTCACGATAAGAAAATTCTCCAATTAAGCCTGGCTGCTTTTGATGGTCTGTTGTCCTAAACAATTGGATACAACGACTCTTTTCAGTTATGCTCTAAAGTGTTGTGGGTGATGTTAACGATCCTCCATAACCTTAGAGGAGCTGCCTGAGGTATTGGTGCAGTTTAGTGTTTGTCGTCAGTCTTGTGGTGGTGAGTGACGCTGGCTGGGTCAGTGTAACAATCTTTATCATCAAATATTTGTGATATTAGTGAGAAGTGGTTGTTAGATAAAGTGGCCTTATTAATTAAACATTACCGACAGTATACGCAAAATGCTTGTTAGTAATTTACTGTGAGTTTATAAATAATTCATAGATTATCCCTGAACCCTATAAAAAGGACGCCGGGTTAACTAGTGTCTCTGTGTCTGTCAGTTTGGGATCTACAAATGACGCCAAGGCTTCACATACATGGATTTCCTTACCAAACTAGATAGAAAGGTCAGAGGTCAAGGTCAAAGTCACTAGAAACTTGGTAGCTAAGAGGGCAGAAATACATTGTAGTGTGATCAATGTTTACGTGTGTACAGGCGAGTGCATCAAACATCAGAAGACGTTTAAGATGTTTGCCTCAGCTACTGTGTATAGTCCTTTTAGGTGAATAATTCTTTTGACAATAACAAAATGATTCAAGTCAGGTTGAGAGGTGAAGTCAAAGGTGAAGATCATGGTAGTGTTATATTTTGTCAGTGACGTGTGTGTGTGTGTGTGTGTGTGTGTGTGTGTGTGTGTGACTGTGTGTGTGTGTGTGAGACTGTGTGTGTGTGTGACTGTGTGTGTATGTGTGTGTGTGTGTGTGTATGACTGTGTGTGTGTGTGTGTGTGTGAGAGACTGTGTTTGTGTGAGACTGTGTGTGACTGTGTGTGTGTCACTGTGTGTGTGCGACTGTGTGTGTGTGTGTGTGTGTGTGTGTGTGTGTGTGTGTGTGTGTGTGTGACTGTGTATGTGTGAGACTGTGACTGTGTGTGTGTGTGTGACTGTGTGTGTGTGACTGTGTGTGTGTGTGTGTGACTGTGACTGTGTGTGTGTGTGTGAACCTGCCATTCTTGTTAATAGTGTTGAGGAAGAAGGAATATAACCGATCTAGAAATTAATGTCATGGTAAAAGAAGTTATATTATGTCAAGCCTCAACCTTGTGTAAATATCCTAGTTCTCGTTTCATAGAATATTATGTATCCAAAGAAAAGGTAAAGAGTGTTGAAAATATTGAAGTGAAGCGATAAGGATTTTGTACAGAAGTATCTATGTGTAATCGTAACAAACTGTACTGCTGTGATAATTGTCTCACTGTCTTGTGTATATTAAAATAACAACACTATGGTGACGCTGCTGTTTTATCATCACCACCATCGCCACCACCATCGCCACCACCATCACCGCCATCTCATCTTTTTCTAAGTTATGAAGTATTGCGTCACAAGAATGGCCATTAAGAAACTCAAGAGATGTGGTAGATTTATTTACAATCTATAAAGTCACTTAAAAAGGTAAACATCAATATCAGAAAAAAAACAATATAAAAAAAACAAACCCTGAGAGACCATCGTTCATAATATTGGCGCCAAGTTCCGGCATTTTTTGGGCAGGATTTGAAGTCTTATGTTTAATCTCTTCTTTTTAACTTCATACATTACCAAAAACAAGTCCTAAATATAACGTTATTAAAATAGAAAACCATTATTACAGGAAAGCAGTTTTAGCCGCTGCTTCTTACACTAGTTGTTGAACCATAGTTATGATTGGCTTTCATGTAACATGGTTGATAATTATTCTCTCTCTATCACCTAACCTCATTGTGCCTTCACTTATAATTCTATAATAGATAAACTTTGCATCCAAGCCCGCCATGTGCCCCTTTAGTACAAATTAGGAAGGAGGTGACTGGAGGTGTAGAGTAGACAACCTGGGCATCAGCACTACAATAATATATACAGTATTATACAATGTGTTAAAAAAGTTCCTGTGCACCTACAATGATTAACAATATAGTTCTTCCTTGTTATACCTACATTGTTACCTTGTTCTACATGCAGTAAATATTGGTAATGTTATCCACTTCCAACATTTCTGCGACCATTTACAATACTATTTACCGTAAGTAAAAAAATGTAAATAAGTATTTCTTTAATTATTGCAGGTACACAGAGACTTTTCAAACACCGGTAGTACAATATTGTCCAGCAGTTTTATCAGTTTTATGAATAATAATGGTGAACTATAGGTGCAAGTGTTCCTGTGTTGAATAAATCTTCAAATCCTACCCCGTATAGCCTCACAGAAGAGCACCAGTGTAGTTGGTATTTAATACTACAACACCAAGATGCTACAAAATAAAAACACATTTACTTCTACCGTAAAAAGAAAACATTTGTGGTAAATAGTTTAAATAATATATATATTTGTTTGACTGTACTACAAACATGATGGCTTACATAACAACTACACTGTGATACATTATTCATTGTATTTAATAAGGAATGTTAACAAGAGGATTCAGTAAACCTAAATGCATAAGGTCCCCACACCAGTGTAGACACCTTGCCGGCATGAAACTTGGTAAAGCCTGCATGATAATCTTGAGCATTTATAAGACAACATGTGGGAGTTGAAAATTTGGTGGTGAATCAACAACAATTTGCATAAGACCTGAAGTTTTTAATAGTGATCACTTAACAACAACTGGGTGTCTGAACCTATTAAGAGAGTTTGGTGAAGATAACAACATGGTGTGATTATCAAGTGACTTGGTGTCTGTCTGTTTGGGAAGAAGTCATTTTTAAAGTGACTCTAGTACTGCAGGAATGGAGTTAATAGTCTGTCAATGCCTACCATCTAGTGAGGCAATCCTGGAGTGTGTTCAATGACTCCACGTTGTTCGATGTAAAGTTTTAAGTAATAATAACAGGAGTATTTAGTTATTTATATCACTGGAGTTATTATCAGTTAAATTCCTTGTATCTGGAAATTGACGAAGTTGTGAATCATGTCACTGTAGAGGAATCAAGACAGAGGAGAAGACAGCTTAATAAAACTGTCCTCTTTACTGTCCATTGTTTTCATATAAGACTGCCATCAAAATCACAGCACTCAACACTCTTATTTCAAATGTTCCCTTAAAGACACTTGGTATATTCTGGTATATTGAGTATTGTTATTTTATAAAAGATTAAATCCTTTATATGACTTATTTTTAGAGCTGATGAAGGATAGTTTTTAACTTTTACCAGAAATAATAATAATAGTACAGTAATATAAAAACAAATATTCCTTAGGTAATAGTTTATAGTTCATGCACACCTAAACTAGATATATTCGAGTATTTTGTATTGAAATATTAATTATATACCTCAAGCATAACAAATTATTGATTCCACTATATAATTTTTGCATTTAATGTTTTTTCTCCATGGTATTTTCTTCCAAATTAGTTGTTGGTAAATATTGCATCTAAACTAAAATAAGCTTAAGTACAAACTTTATAGAACTTGATGAATACTAAAGTTTAGTATTACGGTATATAAAACATTAACAAGAACTGCCAATGATTAAATTTTTTCTTAATACTTTATCTCCAATAACCCTTTTAAGTACACAGGTATTATTAGTTTTAATGAATATAGTTTCCTTTTATGTTGTGTATATATTTAAAGTATATTGTTACTGAAATATATAATAGTGAAAAAAATTATAAAAAGAACCGCCAATTTAGTTCATATCCGAAGTGTTGGTAGTCAATGGTGGCGGGTGTCAGTGTATATTTACGTGTTTTTTTAAAGCTAGGATCCAATCAAATCTAATCTAACTTATCTCATTTGGTATAAGCATATTAGAAGACTTTATAGTTAACTTAAACAAAGTTTGGTTGCTTGGTTTTAGTAAGTCTTAAAAGGAGACATCTTGGAGTTTCCCCTGATGGTGTCCTGAGCTCAGACTAGGTAAGAGTAGCCTTTTTTCTTCTATACAAAAAACTCATTAATATATCTAAGTTTCGGCGAGTAAGAACAGTAAAGTGGTATTATTTCTCACTGTAGAAAGGTATGGGACAGACTACGGGACTACACCATATTTTGTGGAAGGTTCTAACAACTAAACTATTTTAACTAATATAACCATCACTAACGATCTTTGCTTATTTATATATTTTTTTTACTTAGGTTAGAATAGTTAAATTAGGTTAGTTTATTTAGTGACTTTTTATAAGTGTGTAATATGGCGTCGTCTGAACACTTGAACACGCTATTGTAAGTAAATGCAAATTTTTTTTCAACCATCCTCCACTTGTTGCTGTAATGACAAATAATGATTAGTAACTATGAAAATAAAATTGCATTACATAATTATTTAACACGACCGCGGCCTTCACCTAATACCTTAATTGGATTTACAGGGAGACAATTAATTTTCAAATCTAAACGGGATCACATGAAGATTAACCACTCCTGTTTATTTCACCTGATGATGAAACACCTTAAAGCTACTTTGGATTAGGTTATGTTAGCGTTAGTATAGGTTAAGTTAGGTAGGTTAGATTAACACAAGGTTAAGGTTAGCTTAGGTTTGGTTAAATTAGCTTTAGGTTAAGTTAGCTTAGATTAATTTTGGTTAGGTTAGCTTACATCAGGATAGGTTAGCGTTAGGGTGTTTAATCATCAAAGTGAAATGAGCTAGTGTCTAATATTCAGGTGATGCCGATGAATAAATAGACACATTCATGACAACTGGACAATTATATGTGTGTGTGTGTGTGTGTGTGTGTATGTGTATGTCTTAGTATCACAGACAATCACCCTGTAACTGTACTAAGCTTAACCTTCATCATCCAGTACTATATAAACATTATCATCATCCAGTGCTATATAAACATTACTATCATCGCCCAGTACTATATTAACACAACCTTCACCACCAAGTACTATATAAACATTATCATCATCCAGTGCTATATAAACATTACTATCATCGCCCAGTACTATATTAACACAACCTTCACCACCAAGTACTATATAAACATTATCATCATCCAGTGCTATATAAACATTACTATCATCGCCCAGTACTATATTAACACAACCTTCACCACCAAGTACTATATAAACATTATCATCATCCAGTGCTATATAAACATTACTATCATCGCCCAGTACTATATTAACACAACCTTCACCACCAAGTACTATATAAACATTATCATCATCCAGTGCTATATAAACATTACTATCATCGCCCAGTACTATATTAACACAACCTTCACCACCAAGTACTATATAAACATTATCATCATCCAGTGCTATATAAACATTACTATCATCGCCCAGTACTATATTAACACAACCTTCACCACCAAGTACTATATAAACATTATCATCATCCAGTGCTATATAAACATTACTATCATCGCCCAGTACTATATTAACACAACCTTCACCACCAAGTACTATATAAACATTATCATCATCCAGTACTATATAAACATTATCATCATCCAGTACTATATAAACATTATCATCATCCAGTACTATATAAACATTACTATCATCACCCAGTACTATATAAACATTATCATCATCCAGTACTATATAAACATTACTATCATCACCCAGTGCTATATAAACAACCATTATCTCCTAATATAAACATTACTGTAACCGTTCAACTATTATCATATCATTGTCTCAGATGTTTATTGTTCGGTGGAATTAAATGCTTTCGTTTGTAGATCAGTCATGACTTATTCTAAACATATATACTGTACGGTCTCGCTAGTGAGCTTAAATAGTGTTATATACAGGATATTTATGTCCATTTATTGTTCGTTTTAATGTTAGGATTCTCAGCCATCAATGTGACGCCTCTGGGTGTGTTTGAGAGACAGTGAATATGAGGGGAAAGACTTAGAATTACTGTCACTATCTCACGGTTTTGGTCAAGGGTAAATTAAGGTCATCTGTTATATACTGTACAAATTCTCCATGACTTCACTTTTCGCTTCAATCGGGGAAAAAAATATTGACATACCAGAAGTTGTATTATAACTAGCTGGAGGTAATTATACAAATTATTACTAAGGGAATGTTTTCTTATAGGTAAATAACTAGAGATCATAGTAAAGAAATATTGACCAATTCTACCAATCTGAGTTTTCTGTTCGGGGTGTCGTTTGTGGTGGGGGGTGACTAGGAGTGTCGTGGTCCTGGGGGAGGTTGGAGGTGATTTAATACAGGGTGTTGTGGTTGTGGGGTGACTAGGAGTGTCGTGGTCCTGGGGGGGGAGGTTGGAGGTGATTTAATACGGGGTGTTGTGGTTGTGGGGTGACTAGGAGTGTCGTGGTCCTGGGGGAGGTTGGAGGTGATTTAATACGGGGTGTTGTGGTTGTGGGGTGACTAGGAGTGTCGTGGTCCTGGGGGGAGGTTGGAGGTGATTTAATACGGGGTGTTGTGGTTGTGGGGTGACTGGGTTAACATTTCCTGTCACTTATTAGAGCATTGTTAATTAATTCTTCACTGCCTCTTTACTTATTCCTTTCTTGGTCTTTTCGCTTCTTGCATTTTCACTTTCTTGTTTTAATGTAGAAACAAATTGATCCATTCTACATAATTATACTTTTTAATACCAACAAATGGCTTACCACACCATAATCACGTATATAGTTATTTATCTGAAGATGTTTTATAATGTAATTGAATATTCTTGAAGATTTTTAAGGTCAATATCTGAATTGAGAGAAATTTACAAATATATGTTGACTGGTCTATAATTAACGTGGGTTACATGTCATAGCAGGTCAGGAATTATTGAAGTTATAATAATTTCCTTGTATCTGGACATTAATCCTTAAAGTGAGTCTCGTGTGGTTACCGTTTAATATCAAAGAATCGTTTCCATTCACTCAGTAAATGTATTGACTGTAGTATATGGTATATTATGTGTCAATAATTCATGGTAAATATTGGCTTTAATATTCGTGAGGAAACGTAACAATTTATGATTTTTTTTGCAGTGTTTGTCAGACGCTGGGTGAGAGAGGAGGTACTCGTGTATACTGTACAGTCTTCATGCGCGTTATATAGCATTTATGATTATACTGAAGCCTTCTGTTGCCTTTAACCTAATGATTGAGCCGTCAACTCAATATGTGTATTTGTGTTTCTTTTGGAAAGTTATATATATGTTACAGTCAGTGTGGCAAGTGAGGCAATCTGTGACATGCCTGTGAGACTGTGTATAAGTTAGGTTATGTTATTTTAGGGTAAGTTAGGTTGAGTTAGGTTGAGTTAGGTTAGGTTAGGTTCGGTTGAGTTAGGTTAGGCTAAGGTGGGTAAAGTCAGGTTAGGTTAGGTTAGGGTAGGTGAAGTCAGATTAAATTAGGTTTGGTTATTCAGCTGAGAACTGCAAAAAACAAAAAATAATTAAACTTCACACTGAACCTAACCTAACCTGACCTGACCTAAACACAACATAAACAACATTTTCACAAGTACTTTACAATGTGCCGAACTTGACACACTAACTGTAAACACATACAACAAGAACAGCTCTCACCATCATCACTCTTAAGACAATAGCCGGACTTTTGCTAATAAAATACAACTTTTCAATGATCGACTCAAATCATCCTTATTCGATATATTATTATAAAAGGTTTTAGAATGGAGTAGTACAATGTATATATCTAAATATGACTCTTGGTACTTTGGTGATGTGATTCTCAATCTCGTGAAAATATATGATGAGCTAATTATGTTAAAAAGTGAAATTAAATTATAAGTGATAAGCCGTAAAATTGGATTATTATAGTCTGTTTATTATGGAAATATCAAATAGCCTCGCCCCATCGTTCTCCCGTCCTGGCTTGTGATTGGCCAGTTAAAAAAACAATCATTAATGAAGTGCTGTAGATTGACTATAAAATTTAGCTTCCACAGAGGATACTACACCACATTATCCCATCACAAAAACTATATATACAGTTTATGGCTGGGAAGTGGAGAGGCCGAGCGTGATATTTTCCATAATGAAAAGACGATAATTTATGTATACCATATTGTAAGTTTTGTTTGTATCATCTGAAACACCAGCTCCTTCGTGTACATCTTCACCCTCGGTATTAGCTTGACCTACATGGGTAAGGTGTCACATGTTACGTGTTTTCAAATTACAATTCAGATGTATTACATTAATAAGTCTCTCTGCTCTCTAGTAGTTGAGAGACTTTCGTAGTGCATATCATATCTGTTCGTCTGTTAAAATGTGGTTTTTACTTATTTATTTTTTGTTTATTAATTTTTCTTTAACGAAGGAAAGAAAATAGATGTAAGTTTACTTTTGAGGACTTTGTGTGTCGTGGATGAAAGGTTGTGTGTCTGGCCGTACTCGTACAAGTTCCCGTGGGAGATATGCTTTTCAACTTGTCATAAATACTAAAACAAATGAGTGTGTGGTCTCCCTAATTACTAAATTAGAATGTATATATTAAGATTACTATTCATTTCGTGGGACTGCTGGAGACATTGATAACAATTTCAATATCTTGACCAAATTAAAGGCATCGCGTTGGAGTTCAACATTTACCTCTCAAAATTTCCTGAAATCTAATAAAAATTTGTGAATTAGGTGACATACAGTAAACTGTAAAATAATTGTTTCTTTTCGTACATTTAAGTTTTGGTTGGAAATTCAAAACCCAGGAGACAAAATTATAGGAACATTTTAACGTCATTCTGAACACCTACTGTTTAAGGCCTGATAATTAATTCCCTCAAGGATTATTATGAGAGTAGAATGTAATGAGAGTGTTTCATGACTTATAATTATGAGTAAAGAAGAATGTGAATTAGCGTCCGTCCCTGATTTAGAACAGGGAAATGATATTAAGGTGTCTCAGAAAAATGTATACACTTGTCTTGCAGGTTTCCGCAAAGACCGCGTGAAGGTTTGTATTATAATAGCAACATTGTCCTCACTTGTTGATGTGAGAGGTCTGCTACAGGCGAGGACAATGTTGAGTAAGTTCCACGAACATCTGTAAGGCTGTGTGTACATTTTTTTGAGACACCCTGTCGTTGATACTGTCTGGCTGGCTCAGAACACTTTCACCAATAGTACCGGGCGTAGTGTACCGTAACATCAACTGTACCGTAATCATCTACTGTACCGTAGTGTACCGTATCTCATAACTTGTGTGTTCACAATGTGTAATATAAGGTAATATTTTCTCCTCCATCTTCAACATATTTATACTGGTTAAGAGAGATGCATGCTGACACACTTATTAGTACCGTACGTACCCAAAAAAGTGCCTTAAAAGGTCCATTGATAACATAGATATAATATATATATATATATTTATAAAAGGTTAAGTATGATCACAAGGTACATTACCCTAACTGGTGGTGTACACGTATAAGTCTACAAGCTAAATGTGCAATTAATAGTGATAAAAAAACCAAAAACAAGATTAACAAATATTCAGACATGCAGTATGAAGCAGGGTAAAAAAATAACATGTTTGTCTCCGTTATTCTCAGCTGCAACAATACATGTTTGGTCACATTAATGAAAAGTTAATGTCGTCTTTAATGAGTCTTACCCTCTTCATTTTTTAATATAGGAGAATTATTATTTTTAAGTTATGGTTTTGTGTTGTTTCTCACCCACAACTGTTGTTCGTAGTATCTGTGTTGACCATTTGTACCTCGTCCACACCAACGAATCACTTGTACGCTTGTAACGTATTATTTAAATCTTCACAGACATTCACAACACAGGTCTGGATGTATGACAAAGGGAAACAAACACTTCTTTCCCACATCACACGAGAACACACACTCAGATGTCAAGTGAATGAATCAGTCATGAACATTCTCACAGCACAACATCCATTAGTTTTTTTTTTATGTCAGTTGACGACAGACTTGCACATTATTAGTTCTTAAATTCGTATCACATGTGTACACTGATAACACACGTATACGAGGCTATATCAGGGGTTTTGGGGGGAGCACCCACAACAAACACATACTTGATTATGGCACACACATAAAAAGTTCTCACAAGACATCAGCCTCCATAATGCTCTCGTCTTGTTCTACGTCTCTGTTAAGGTAGCCGCCCACTAGTGACCCAAGCCTCTGAGCGGGAATACCTCGGGGTTCAGCCACTTTCGCCACCAGATCGTCTTCCTCCAGCATCTGTCCCGCTCGGATTGGTCGGGCGGCCACCAGGGTCTTGCCAAGCTGCGGGGGAATTATAACATTGTAAATTCTCTTAGTTTGGTTAAATTGATTGTGATTTTTGTATCATTAAAATAGTTGATGTTATAACGCATTAATTACGCTTCAACCGTTGAGATATTTTGTTTAGTAGATTAGTAATTACAACTTATCCATCAACAACTAAAATATTATGAGATACAACTACGGTATTGAGAATTTGTTATTGTGATGTTCTTCCTGATCTTCAATAAGTAAGGTCTTCTGGCACGTAAAGAGCTTAATTACATTCGTCTATCAATAGTTACATATTATGAAAAACATGTTGAGTCTCAATACAGTGAAACCTCTATTTAACGAACTATATGGAGAAAATTCCGTTATATCGAGGGTCGGTTAGATGAGAAACCACCTAACGAACTATACGGAGAGAGAAGTCCGTTGTCTCGAGGGTCCATTGATGTGAAACCCTCCATCTAACAAACTACCCGGTATATAGAGATGAAAGTCCGTTACATCGAGGGTCCGTTATATGGAGGTTTCACTATGTATCAGTAACCTACACTACGGACTATAAGGGCTGAGCTCACTTTCATGAAACACGCCTCCTCGCTCGGCTGAAATGCCTTGAGAGGGCTACCGAGGGCTGCTTCCACACTCCTGATGGCCTTAATGAGTTCTCTGAGGTCATGAGGTTCCAGGGAACACGAGTGGTCGCTGCCCTTCCACGTCCTGTTGAGAGTGAGGTGACGCTCCACCACCTGTGTACAGTGTTAGCGGTGTTTGGTAATGTTTGTTGTAAAAGAAAATCAGTATTAATTATTGGTATTTATTATTATTATTTTGTTGTAATTATTATTATTATTATCATTTTGTTGTAATTATTAGTATTAGTATTACTACTCATTATTATTATTTTCAATATTATTATTATTTATATTATTATTATTATTATTTATATTATTATTATTATAATTATTTTTATTATTATTATTATTATTATTATTATCATTATCAACATTACATAAAAAGCTGGTTACTTTATCTGAGAAGTAAAAGATTAAAAGTGAGAATTGTACTTGTTAAATCGTCTTTTCTGAGTGTAGGAGGAACAAGATTGGTCAAAAGTTGTACATAAGCTGATGTGACTCACAGTAATTCGCTGTACTTCTTGGTAACATCTGCATCTAATTGTTGGTTAATATATGTGGTTTCCAGCTGGTGATCGTGAACCTGTATTTTAAGCTGAACTCCACAACCAATCATGAATATGAGTCTTTGACCACTGTTGGAATGTGTCCCCGAACTGTAGATGGCGCTGAAGTGTTGTATTTATACGCCTGAGACTTCGAACTGGTTTGAACGAGTCACCAAACTGCTTCTCCAACTATAGTTGGGTTTGATATTGTTTCGAATAGGATAATCTTTGAACTTTACCTCGTGACTGAGACACTGACAAACAAAATGGACTGTCAGTTGAAATTGAACCTTGGGAGAGTGAGTGAGTGTGACGCTGTACAGAGAGTGATGGAGGTATTTACTCACCCGAGCCCCACGAGCCACAGCCGCGATGGTCACGTGGATACCCAGCTCATGCCCAGAGTAACCGATGTGGGCGTGAGGGAACATCTGGGCGTACGTGTCCAGCACCCGCAGGTGAGTCTGTTCGGGCGGTGAGGGGTAGGCGGAGGTACACTGCAGGAAGACGAGGGGTGTTGGCGGGTCCTGGATGGTCAGCTCCTCATACACCTGAGACACCCAAGCTATGTCCGACATGCCTGTGGTAGTGATGTGGTCAACACGTCAGTTTGGGATAACAGTGGAGAGAAAATTCCATTATATCGGGTGTCCGTTAGATGTGAAACCTCCATCTAATAAACTATATAGAGATGAAAGTCCGTTATATCGAGGGCCCGTTTGATGTGAAATCTCCCATCTAACGGATTATATGGAGATAAAAGACCGTTATGTGGAGGTTTCAATGTGCTGGTTTCCTCGTCTCGTCGACCGGTAACTAACAAACACACCGCCAACTTGAGACTTGTGCCACAAATATAAAGTATCATAACAGTATTGGTTCAGGGAGAAATTTTAATTACGTAAAGTTAGTGTTTAAATTAAGGGTTTATCTTTTTTTTTTTTTATTAATATAGGCTGGGGGTGATGATTGAGATTGGGGACTGACCTACTGATTAATGGGGCGAGAGGAGTGGTGGTTGGGCTGGGGAGGTAATGAATGTTGTTGGGGGTAATGATTGGGGCTGGGAGGTGATAAGTGGGGCTGCGGGCTGATAAATAGGGCTGGGGAGGGTAATGAATGGTGCTGGGAGGTAATAAATGTTACTGGAGGGTAATTGATGGGGCTGGGGACTAATTTATAAGACGGTGGTTGGATCTCACTCACCTGTGGACACCACGAGAGGTTTGCTACAGGCGGCGGCGGTACGGAGGAGAGGCAGGTTGTGTATGTCGCCAGAACCAACCTTGATGAAGGGAACGTTCAGCTCGTGTAGCACATAAAGTGACGGCTGTGGCGGGAGGGAGGGAGGCACTGCGTCAGGAGGGTGTTGTGTGTGTGTGTGTGTGTGTGTGTAGGCGTGTGTGCGTCAGAATCTAAAGTATTATTTCATATTGTTGAAAAGTCTGTATACAGGATCATGGTATTAGCTATATCAGTGCCTGTGTGTGTGTGTGTGTGTGTGTGTACATCATAATCTAAAACATTGGTTCATAACATTCAAAAGTCAGAACAGTATACAGTATATACAGTACAAGACAGCGTGCGGGTATAGCTACTGACGATGTCCATGGCGGAGGCGGTGAGGGGTATGTCGTGTTGGGTAGCGTACTCCTGCAGTTCGTGGAGTTGGTCGCGGGAGAACTCGAGGTGTTTCTTGTGGTCACCGTAGGTCTCCCCCCAGGCGTGCTCGGAGTTGTAGGGGCGACTGAGGGCCTGTTTGTTGAACTTGTGAGGCAGGGAAGACATCTGGAGCTTCACGCAGTCTGCACCACATTCCTTAAACAAAATATAGTGGAATAGTTATATTGAAACCTCTATATAACGGACTATATGACGGGGGGGGGGGAGTCCGTTATATCGAGGGAGTCCATTAGATGTGAAACCTCCCCATCTAATGAATTACAGAGATATGGAAGTCCGTCATATCGAGGGTCCGTTATATATGAAATTTCCCCATCTAACGGATTATATGCAGAAAGAAATCCGTTATATGGCGGTACTGATGAAACAGGTATCTGGTCCTCACTCTCTCTGTCCATCTCTCACCTTGTCCACCCCTCTCTCTCGCCTTGTCCACCCCCTCTCTCTCACCTTGTCCACCCCTCTCTCTCGCCTTGTCCACCCCTCTCTCTCACCTTGTCCACCCCTCACCTTGTCCAATTCTCTCTCTCACCTTGTCCACCCTCTCACCTTGTCCAATTCTCTCTCACCTTGTCCACCCCTCTCTCTCGCCTTGTCCACCCCCTCTCTCTCACCTTGTCCACCCCTCTCTCTCGCCTTGTCCACCCCTCTCTCTCACCTTGTCCACCCCTCTCTCTCGCCTTTGCCCCAATCTCCCTCTCTCACCTTGTCCACCCCTCTCTCTCACCTTGTCCACCCCTCTCTCTCACCTAGTCCACCCCTCTCTCTCACCTTGTCCACCCCCTCTCTCACCTTGTCCACCCCTCTCTCTCTCGCTTTGTCCACCCCTCTCTCTGCCTTTGTCCACACCCCCTCTCTCTCGCTTTGTCCACCTCTCTCTCCACCTTGTCCACCCCCTCTCTCTCACCTTGTCCACCCTCTCCTGTCCACCTCTCCCTTCCTCTTTGTCCAACTCCCCTTTCACCTTTGTCCAATTCTCTCACCTTAGAAGGCCTGCCGGAGGGTCTTGGCCAGCTCCATGTCGCCTTGATGGTTCTGGCCGATCTCAGCGATGACGAAGCATGGCTGACCCTCCCCTATGTAGCGGCCTGGCACCAGCTCCAGGGGCTCCATCCTCACTCACTCCTCTGTAGGGTCAGGTCAAGAGGCCAGGTCAAATATTGGGTTAAACGGGGCACTGGGGTATCATAATTCTCTCCTCTGTTGAGTCAAATATTGGTTTAGACTGGGCATTGGGGTTAGGTTGGTCAAAGTAGGTTAGGTTACGTTATTTTATATTTTGTTATGTTGCTAGGTCAAGTTAGGTTAGGTTAGGTTTAGTTAGGTTATACTGGGTCTAACTATAGTGCCACCTTATTGTTGGCACTCTCGTCTATAAATGTGTTGGTGGCACCCGTGGCATTTCTTTTAATCAATGAAAAGGTTTTGTACTGTAGTGCAGTTGGTGTTCCCTATTCCCTTAATCGCCTGAGTAAAGCAGAGTGTGTGATGGTGGGTGATCTGGTAACACTGTATGATGGTGTGGTGGTAACTGTCTGGTAACACTGTATGATGGTGTGGTGGTAACTGTCTGGTAACACTGTATGATGGTGTGGTTGTAACTGTCTGGTAACACTGTATGATGGTGTGGTGGTAACTGTCTGGTAACACTGTGAGGAGTGAATCCGAAATTCCATACACTTCTGGGAATACCTGAATACACCTCAGTTTATTTTATCTAATGATTAAACACCCTAATGCTAACCTATCTTTACCCAACCTAGTTTAACCTAACACTAGTACATGTATAGCCTCACCTAACCCTAATATAACCGAATTTTACACAACCTAACTTAGCTTAACTTAACGTACGTGAACACCAGGTAGAGTTAGGGTATTTTAATTAATCATCAGGTGAAATAAACTGAGGTGGAGGGGCCGACCTTCATATGATCCCATCTCTAAACAAAACATTCCAAACGATACCTTTTCACTTGGGAGATGATGGTACTAACAGGTCTGGCATCACACTGGGGTAAAGTTTGTCTTCTTTGTTTTGATTAGAATTTTAGTGTGTGTGTGTGTGTGTGTGTGTGTGTAGAAACACTGAAGAAAAAACTTACAGGTTCGTAGTGTCTTTACAACAACATTGAGTTTACAACATCACTGGTTTACACTGAGGTTGTAGCCATACTGGTTTATAGCGAGATTTTACAACCACCGGTTCACAACACTGGTTCAAATTTAGTCTACAACACACCGTTTATGAGAACACTTGATCACTCTTTACAACACTGGTTTGTATTTAATTCAAACAACTAGTTGGCAGTTCACAACCCTAATTCACAATACTTTTACTTTTTACTTTTATCCTCTTCGCCACTGATCGCCTTGTTAGCCGCTTGGGCGATCGGTCACGTCTCTGGTTCAAATGAGTTTATAACACTGAGCATACACCAACACTGGTTCACACGGATCACAACACTGGTTCACAATTTACAATATTGGTTCACATTGTATAGCACTAGTACATACTGTTCACTACAACACTGGTTCAGTTTACAATGAAGCTGGTTCACACACTCACTCCAGAACAACACTGGGCTCACAACAATAGCGGTTTACGGCTAGAGCACATCTCCGGGAGTAGCGGCTGCAGCAGGAGACTGACTGCACCATCATCACGTGGTCTGTATGTCTGGCATGAGCGCCCCGATGACTAACACCGGGGAGAGATTTTACTTATGATAAATATTAACAACTACTGAAGGACAAACTTAAAACTTTGGAAATCTCGAGTCTTGTAAATATACCTTTTGTGGACGGTAGACAGGGAACGTTAGACAGCGATAGACAAGCAGATGCTAATGTTTGTCTGTCTCTCAGGCTATACAAGTGTTGCTGGGTCGCTTACATCTGTATTATTACGACCATGTTGCCATCACTCACCTCCCTACCACCACCGCCAGGCAATGTATCGAGTTGTTTTACCGAGGGTTAATTTCCGTGTCTTTCCCCGAGGTTTACAGATGAGTTTTATTCCCGACTCAAAACTTCTATATGAGCCGCAGTGAGAATGTGAGATGGTGGTGTAAAAATCTGGCGCGGATTTAGGAAATGGCGGCGAGCAGCAACCATACTTGACGCAATATTACCTCCCGTAACGCTCACCACCAGCCGAGATTTTGTGTAATTTTTTTTTCTCCAGGATAATATTTTAAACACGATTAAACGCACAAATTTGGTGATAGTATTTCGTTTATCTAACCGTAGCTAGGGAGGAGATATTGGTGGGGTGAGGGTGAGTGTTTGTGCGAGTGTCTGCCGCTAGCCTCGTATGGTTGATTTTGGTTCATTTGTTTGGGGGGAGATTCTCAAACGTTGGTTAAGGCGGGCTGTTTGTCACTCCGGGGGGTGAGGGTGGGAAGTTGGCTAGTGTTAAAGAGAATTCCACGACCTCGGCAGTACATCAAGCTTTTGATTACCAAGAACACGATCACTGCATCAAACTTTGTAAATAAACGACCATACTACTACTACTACTTTTTTTTTTTTTTTTTTTTTAAACGTGGCCTCCAGCCTCCCCCAATAGCCACACCTTCGCCACCATTTAATTACCTTAATATTAAATATCCTAATACATAAGTAGCTATCCTATCTGTGTTAAATTAGTTGAGCCGCAGATCTATGCGACATTCAGTGACTGTAGCCTCATAGTCAATATCTGCAGCAGTTGTCGGAGTAGGGGCAGAAGCTCTCGTTCCCCTGAGGCAGAGCAAAGCCGACCGAAGGAGAGAGAAGACAGTCGACATCTCATCCAGGCTGTAACATAACTTCTGGGCTGCATTGCATTCGAGATCAACTCCGCAGTCTTACTACTACTACTACTACTACTACTTTTTTTTAAATGGCCTCCAGCCTCCCCAATAGCCACACCTTCGCCACCATTTATTTACCTTAATATTAACTATCCTAATACATAAGCAACTACTACTACTACTACTACTACTAATAATAATAATAATAAAATGTTTCTGTCACTCAAAACATTTGTAATTTCAGGAGGTCGTAATTTGTGGTGTTCAAGTATAAGGCCGCCAGAGCTAGGTGTTACATTGGAGAGAGAGAGAGAGAGAGAGAATGAACACGTGTCCGCTCCGTGTGAACAGGTTTTCCTCTTTGTTCAACACGCGGACGACAACCCATTACTTTACTCACTGGGACAGACATTCATACCCGACAACCTCAAAATAAAAATAAATAATTATATATAGTGTACTTTGTAAGAGAATAAGTTTAACAGAGTCTGCCCTTACATACAGAGGGCAGGCCATCGTTCTCTGTAGTTCACGTTGCTCCAATTTAGTTCCTGTTTACATTTTCTGTATTGATTTATTCAGTACTTAACGATCCATGAGGAATTCGCTGTAGCTTCCTGGTGTAGATAGTGAACAGGATAATGTTTACAAGACACGAATTATTATTATTGTGATTATTATTATTATTATTATTATTATTATTATTATTATTATTATTATTATTATTATTATTATTATTATTACAGTAGGATACTCTCTGAATACAGAAATGTTACAGAAGTATAATTCCAGGTTACAACAGTTCACACACAGATATTTGCTGGTTACCTTGTTTACACCCAAGATGCTAACTACCAGCCACACACACACACGCGCACACACACACACACACACGCACACACGCATACATACATACATACATACACACACACACACATACATACACACACACACGCGCGCGCGCGCACACACACACGCACACACACACACACACACACACACACAGACACACACACACACACAGGGACAGGGTCTAGATATGGTCTAGTTAATTCACAGGGGGGAGAGTGTCAGGTGATGACCCACACCTACACACCTGGTGGGTCTTGTTCACCTTACCTTGTTCCTCTCTCACCTCTAACCTAACCTAACCTAACCAAACCTAACCTAACCTAACTTAACCTAACCTAACCTAACCAAACCTAACTTAACCTAACCTAACCAAACCAAACCTAACCTAACCTAACCAAACCAAACCTAACCTAACCTAACCTAACTTAACCTAACCAAACCAAATCAAACCAAACCTAACCTAACCTAACCTAACCTAACTTAACCTCACTGAACACTGAATACAGAACACTGAACACAGAACACAGAACACTGAACACAGAACACTGAACACAGAACACAGAACACTGAACACAGAACACTGAACACTGAACACAGAACACTGAACACAGAACACAGAACACAGAACACTGAACACTGAACACAGAACACTGAACACAGAACACTGAACACAGAACACTGAACACAGAACACTGAACACAAAACACACAAACTAAACACAGAACACAAACTAAACACAGAACACACAAACTAAATACAGAACACTAAATACTGAACACAACATCTACTAGTGGCTATGATCCGGGTACACTACAAGGTCCCTAGACGCTTGATACACCCCCCTTGACAAGAGCTCTCTGACGTAATGTTCAGTTGGATTGAATACCACTGGTGCAGGTCGCTTAAACTCCGGTTATACACTATTGGGTTACAACACTCAGGCATGGTGTGTTAGGCACCTACTCCTACTGCTACTCCTACTTCTACTCCTACACCTACTTCTACTCCTTTTCTACTCCTACTTCTACACCCCTACTTCTACTCCTACTCCTACTTCTGCTTCTACTCCTACTTCTACTCCTTTTCTACTCCTACTTCTACTACTTCTATTCCTACTTCTATTCCTACTTCTACTACTCTTACTCCTACTCCTACTTCTACTCCTACTCCTTTTCTACTCCTACTTCTACTACTTTTCACTCCTTACTTACCCTCACTTCCCAATCCTACTCCGCCCCATCCCACCCCACCCCACCTCCTCCCACTCCACCCTCCATCCCACCCACCCACCCCAATCCCAACCCACTCCATTCCCCTATCCCACTCCTCCCACTCCACCCATCCCACTCTCCTCCTCCCATCCCCACTCCATCCCACCCCAATCCCACTCCTACTCCCATCCAATCCTCCTCCCATCCCACTCTAACCCAATCCCACCCCTATTTCTCCCACCCCACCCCATCCCACTCTCTCTATCCCACCTAATCCCACTCCCATCCCACCCACTCCATCCCTCCTACTTCACTCAACCCCACTTTCTAATTCTACTTCTGCTTCTATTCCTACTTCTAATTCTACTTCTACTTATCTTCTTTCTACTCCTCATTTCAATTCCCTACTTACCCCATCTACTTCTGCTCTTATCTCACTTCATCTCTACTCTACTCCCACTTCTACTCCTACTCCCACTTTACCCTTTCATCTTACTTCTATTCTCTACTTCACCCCATCTCTACTTCTTTATCTTCACTTCTACTCCCTTTTCTACTTCTACTCCCACTTTAATTCTTCTTCTACTCACTCTACTTCTACTCCTATCTCTACTTCCCTACTCCTACTCTATCCCACTCCACTTCTACTCCACCCCACTCCTCTACTCCTACTCTATTCCTACTCCCACTTCTACTCCTACTCCTACTCCTACTCCTACTCCTACTCCTACTTTTACTCCTACTCTAACTCTTCACTTCCATCCACTTGTTGTCCTTCCAAAGAACCTTTTTCACGCCCTGTACTGTATGTATGTATGTACTATTGGGTTACTCTATGACAGGATACGACACTCATCATCGCTAACCTAACCTTGCCTAACCTAACCCAATTCCAACCTAACCCAACTCAACCTTCAGGACTGTAGGTCAAGGTGAGGACTCCCTCACCTGGACTGTATACAGGTGTGACGAGGAGGTAATAATCTTTAATAAGGTCACAAGAGACTCAAGAAAGCTCCTCTAACTCTTAATTAATTTTTACTTCCATTTAGACGAACAAAGGGAGAGTATTGTCAGTAAACTAATGAGATGAATCTGTGTACAGTATATATATATTTTGGACTGCAGTGTTAGTGTAAATTTGACGCCATCTTGGTCGATATTAGTATGTGTTGTGTTGTGTGTGTTGTGTTGTGTTGTGTGTGTGTTGTGTGTGTGTTGTGTGTGTTGCGTTGTGTTGTGTTGTGTTGTGTTGTGCTGTGTTGTATTGTGTTGTGTTGTGTTGTATTGTGTTGTTGTATTGTGCTGTGCTGTGTTGTGTTGTGTTGTGTTGTATTGTGCTGTGCTGTGCTGTGTTGTGTTGTGTTGTGTTGTGATGTGTTGTTGTGATGTGCTGTTTTGTGTTGTGTTATATTGTGTTGTGTTGTGTTGTGATGTGCTGTTTTGTGTTGTGTTATATTGTGTTGTGATGTGTTGTGTTGCATTGTATTGTGTTGTGTTGTGTTGTGTTTGTGTTTATGTTGTGTTGCGTTGT